AATTTTGTTACAGAATTCGGAAGGTAATTCATTTCAAGTGGCACTGATTATGAGTAACAGTGGGACATTTGCGCATATTGTTTATAGTAAACTGAATACAAATAAAAATGCCGTGGTAAATGTTTGTTACATAGCAGATATTTTTAGATGAATCGAGAATTAATTCTAAATTTTGTGTCTAATTTATTTCATCGTTTTTTCAAATTTATTTTTTTTTTATTGACTCATTTTATTTGTCAAACTGTCAACAGTACAAACCGGCAAAATATAGCCTTTTCCAGTAATTTATACGTTACGGATGGATAGTTTATTCTCTTCAATTGTAGGCAGGTTTCAGTGGTTTAGATGGCCATTATTCGTTACCCGGTTCAGGAACACAAGATGCAATAAAATTGGCCGAGAAAAGCGATATTGGTATACCAGGAGAATTCTTTTTCCGGATTGATTCCGATCAGGTGTTTCTTTGTGGAGCTGGATACAAGGTATTCCTTCCTTTTTATTCCAGAGTGTAATTGGAGAAAATGTGATCTTACTGATAACTATAATCATTTCTGCAGCTATTAACATTTCTCGATATAATGATTAAACAGAGAGTGTTTAAAAGAATTAGATTTGTTAAATCAATTTAAGGGACAAGAATGTGCTGAAACATGTGGGAAAGCGGAATGGGGTCTGGATTGTACCAGACAATGTCATTGCGATAGTGGCGCACAATGTAATGCTGAAACAGGAGCATGTCCTGGTGGGAAATGTAATCCCGGTTGGACCGGAGCACCAATTTGTGAGGATGGTAAGTTTATTTTTGAACAACAAGGCTTTCGAAAATTTTGTTTACATGATAACTGTGCTGTCAAAATAAACAATCATTATGTTGTCTTACTGGAACGATAAGTGCTGAATGGTACGAGCGACATGATATTTGATGTATAATCAATTACAGATGTAGATGAGTGTGCAGAGAAAGATGACCTTTGCCCCCGAGAGCAACCAGATTGTGTGAATACTGCTGGCGCATACTTGTGCATTTGTTATGAATATGATAACACTACCAATACATGCAAAGGTAAGCAAAATTGAAATTGCGACAAATGCATTCCATACTTCAGTGATAACCTGCGCCTGCGAAAATTTAATATTGTAGATGTCGGTTTCATAGGAAGATGATTGTATTTAGCAAAAAAAAAAAAAAAAAAATAGCAAATATTCCTCAAGGTACGCTGCCTCTTAAAAATGGGAAAAGTGAACCGATAGCAGTGAATATTGTACCAGTACGACCCGTACTAGCATCAACAGTAGTTGCACCCAACTTCCGGACAACAAAACGACCTAGTACAACGACAACTCAATGGTCAACACAAACCACTTTATTGAATGACTCTAAAACTGTCCAATTTACGCCTCACCCTATTAAGGTAACTTTTGCTTATTCAAATATTTGATGTTGACTTTATCTTGGTGCTGCTGGTTGCGAGGTTTATCTTTTCCCTCCTTCAGAATTCATTTGTTCTTAGTTTTTGATGAATTATGGAAATTATCTGTCGATTTGGTAAGTAAGATAAAAGTTAAATTGTCCCAACAAAAATAACCGTAAGATATTGCGATATAGCTCATGTGTCACCTTTATTCGCACAATCACTATGTGATACCGGTTAGATTTTGCTGGTAAGATTGATTTTTTAAGTAATTCACTGACTTTAAACACAAAGTAAATAAAGGAAGTAATCAAGAAAATGAAGTGCCCAAAGAAAATAACGGGAAAAATAAGCGTACATCTTGTGTCAAGATATGTTTAACCGGATGATGTTCATCATGACCCGTCGCCGTAATCCTGTTACCGTATTCCCGTTGCCGCAACCCACTGCAATCATGTACCATAACCCGTTTCCATGACCCGCACCTCTGCCGCTACCCATTACCATAATCTTACCATAACTCGTTACTACAATCCATTACTGATTACTGCAGCCAAGCCGTAATCCATTATCGCAACTGCACTGTAACTTGTTACAGTAATTTTACCATAACTCATAACCGCAATTATGCAATAATTCGTTACCATATTCCATTTCTGTTGTCATGCCGTCATCGTAATTCGTTGCCCCAATTCTCCCGTAGCCCATTATCGTAATTCTGCCATGATTCTTCACCTTAATCTACCACCGTAATCATGCCGTAACCCGTTATTACTTGGCAATCGTATTGTTGTAATCATTGAAACCAAAATTTGAACAATGTCACTTTTTTAAAATAAATGTCAGGTTTGCATTTGGTATGCTAAGGATATATCAATCGAAAAAATACCTCTTTTATTGCTGATGTCTTGAAATGTTTGAAATTCATTTTATGTCAAAATACTCGATTGTCATATCGGAACTCAGCAAAAAAAAGAAATAGTACTGTAAGATGGTAAAAGATAAATGATATTGATATATTGTCAAAGACAAGCTTATCAGAAAAATAATACGGTGGATTAGCAAATGATAGAATAATGATTGCTCAAAATATTATGGTGATTTTAGTGAAACAATTACTTTCGAACAAATTATCTAATTTAATTAATGCTATAAGCTGAAATGAATATTACAGAAGACTTCATCGAATTGTCGTTGTGACGAGAATGCGGAATGTAACGGAGGAATATGTAAATGTAAATCCGGTTGGACAGGTGATGGGAAATCTTGTATGGATATCAATGAATGCTTCGGTGAACCGAGTGTTTGTGGTGCTCATGCACTATGTGAAAATAGTCCAGGCTCATATAACTGTCAGTGCAATATAGGATATATATTTGATCGTAATGGAAAATGCATTGGTAAGTCTTTTAATTTAAAAATAAAATTGTATTGAAATTACTGGAATATAATATGAATACCTCATATAATCAAATGATTCGATATTCATTAATTTAGTCATACATATCTGCAATTTTTCCTGTGGGAGATTACTGTAATCATCAAATGAAAATGAATGAAAGCATTTATTCTCGATTATAACAATATTTACTGAATTATTTCTAAATTTTAGTGAGTTTTTTTTTTTTGGAATTTTTCAGATTTGGATGAATGTGCTGAAGGAATTGTAGTATGTGGTGGCAGTAAGAATAGCTCTATTTGTGTGAATACTGATGGCAGTTATGAATGCCGATGTGCACCCGGTTATGCCGGTAGTCCGGACAGTCCACATGGGTGTGTAGGTATGTAAAATATTTACATATTTAAAAACACACATGACATCTGAAGGAGATGATAGAACAACAAATGTTTGTTTTGATGTGATAAGAGATAAAAAAAAAGATTGAAATGTTTCATTTCGAAAATTAAATGGCAATGTTTAGATGTGAATGAATGCCAATTATCGGACTTTTACTGCGGTGAAAAAGGAGTTTGCAAGAATTTAGTGGGCAGTTATGAATGTGAATGTGCGGATGGCTTTCAACGTGATCAGTATACGGGACAATGTGTTGACATCGATGAATGCAAGTAAGCTAAACCAATTCTAAACTTTTAAAAAGATTTCGATTGAATGAGTGATAATTAAACTTCAGCTAATATAATTGAAAAATAATAGCTTGGTATATTGCTGATATATCCCGAAATATTGAAAAATGTAAAATATTCTAGATATGATCCATGTGATAAGGCAGCAATATGTACCAATTTACATGGATCATTCCGATGCGCTTGTATAGATGGATTTGTTGGTAATGGGGTGGAATGTCACGGTATATTGTCCTATACTACTATTACTTCCCTAAATTTCTTAAATATTTTAGCTGTTATGGTTGAAAAAGCTTGTAATATGTCGTCAAAAAAGTAATTGATTCCGTTCAAGCTATCTATCAATTAAGCCACTAATAATCAAGACGGAATTTGTGATGAATCATCTTTAGTGAGATTTAATGATTCCTGGAGTATAATATGGGAAAATGAATATTTTAACGACGATTCTTTATAGAAACAATCCTCTTCCCGGATGACAACCCAACACTTGAAGTACCTGCGCGAGTTAATGCTGTTGCTGATTACCTTATAACTGAACCTCTTCGACTTTTTGGCCGAACTTATCGTACTCTTTACGTAAGCAATTCATTTCTTAACTTTAAATATAATTGAGTTTATTTTAATCTTCAAACATATTTGGCAATCTGTCACTTAAGTAGATTGATCCTAATGCAGTGATATCTTTCTCATCTTACAATAAATATATTTTGGAAATATTATGAAATGAAAATAAGAATGAATTTCGTGAAACTAATTTAGTAATGGTTAACGGAAGAGAAAATAGAGCTTGAATATTAAGTTTATTAATTTTAGATTTCATCAAATGGTGGAATAAGTTTTGGTGAGCCACTTCCATTAAAACTTGATGGAAATGTTCGTTTCCCAGCATTTTTACCACTTTATCAGCACTATACCTTTCAGGATAACTCAAAAGTTGTCCTGAAAGTCATTGATGGTTAGTATATCTCTCTTCTTTTTTATGAAATGAAATGAGTAGATGAACTGAAATGATCAAATCTGTAGCATTGAATAGTAATAGATACAAAAGTGATGTACAGTAGATGAAATCAGATCAAAATCTTTCGATCGATAATGATAACTTAATCATATGTATCAAATAATTTGTATGAAAAAAAAAAAACAAATTAATGATGCTTGGTTCAGTTTAGCTAGGTTTCTGATCAGGCTAATTTTTTGATCACAGGAAAAACCCTCGAGAGTATGTTACTTTTGCATTCTTACACATCCCAAAAAGTTGTTTAAATGAGATTTCAGTTAGAATTAGAAGATAACTTTCATTTTAAATGCCCGAAAATTTTGCTCTAGTTTAATCGAACATTAAGTTATGCCTTATGAAAGGTCAAAAAAAGAATTAGAATAAGATTAAATAATAGAAAAATAAAATTCAGGCATTTTCTAAAAAGTATATTTCAGATACTGATCCAAAAGATTATACATTATTGGCTCGTTTATCCTTAAGTATACATAACAAATTTCATCAAAAAGATTTTCGCGCACGTTCATTACTTATCATTTCGTATGATCACATGTTACAAGTGGATACTGATCAGGTACTTGCATACGTTCATTACTTATCATTTCGTATGATCACATGTTACAAGTGGATACTGATCAGGTACTTGCACACGTTCATTACTTATCATTTCGTATGATCACATGTTACAAGTGGATACTGATCAGGTACTTACCTGAATCCTTCCAAATATATTGTAAGACATAAGAGAAAAGAAAGGATTGAAGCATAATTTGAATTTAAATTTTAAAAAATTTCTTTTCATGTATGTCATCCTTTCTACACGTCCATATGATTAATGAAAATTTATCGAAATATTTAATTTTTATTCTTAGACATTGTTTTTTTTATTCTTTTATTTTTTATTTTTTATTTTTTATTCTTATACATTGATATAATTTCATTTTAAATGCTATTATGCATAAAATCTAAGAAAAATTACTGCTTTGCGAAATTTCTGTACCTTTTTTAACTACTGATGCACACCATCTACACACACACACACACACTACGCACACACATACACACACACATACACACACACGCACATACATACACATACACACATACACACATTAGTTATTAGCTATTTTATAGAAGGAAAAGGAATAAGCAAATAATTGGATAATTGCAGGAAAATTCATTCCAAGTAATAATAGCGCGAAGCGATAATGCGACATTTGCGATGTATTTATTCGAAGAGGTCGAATCAGACAAAGGTTTGAGTGGTTTCTCATCAGGTGTTGAATTCTTCGAGTTACCTTTTGAAATGTTGGCTAATCAATCAAATATCGGTGAACGAGGGAAATGGTTATTCCGGGTTGATGGAGTTCTACCATTACACTGTCCGGCTGGTACACTGGATCCACCGTTGTGTCAGAAAGGTTCTTCTTAATAATGGATTTGATAGTGTTGTAATGAATTTCAGTATATTAAAAAGCACTAAACGTTGTTATACAGAGATTAACTATGATAACTATATTAGCAAGAGAAAGCTCTATTACGTGCAATGCTTCATTACGTAATTAAGCTTAGGAAGCTTTGTTAAATTATAATTTATTTTTAAATATCAAAGTTATAATTGCTCATTGATCGATCAGATAAAGATCGATTTGTAGTGAACCATTTGATTAATCGAATAGTTTGATGTGTTGTTATACCAGTACTGAAAAATGCAATGTAATAATGATTTGATATTCTCTGATGACATCTGTTCCAATGTTTAATGCGCAATTGATTGGGTAAGTATCAGTTGTTTCAGATGATTTAAGTTGGATTTTTATCCATTTTAGAATGTGGTGCAGGTACGTGGGGATTCCGTTGTGAGAATAAATGTCATTGCCGTAATGATATTCCATGTGATTTTGCAACCGGTTTCTGTTCCAATGCTCAATGCGCAGATGGTTGGACGGGTATTAGTTGCTTCGAAGGTTACTTTATTAAATTATTACTTAAAAAATCTTGATTTTTTAAGGTAAGAAAATATTGTTTTTGAAAAATTTAGTTGATTAAAGAATGATTCAATTCATTTTATTCATTTCAATTTTCTGCATAATTATGAAAACCATTCCAAGCTATTACCTCAATGTTCGGTTGTAAAGTGCAATAACCAAACTACGGGTGGAATATAATTGTATGCTACCTATGATTCAAACCATAAAATTATTTATTGATTAAGTCTATCAGGTTCATTTAAATTACAGATGTGAATGAATGTATTACGGAAAGACACAATTGTTCATCAAAAGCGACATGTATCAACGAAATCGGAACGTATCGTTGCAAATGTAATGAACTTTTCGTGGGTGATGGCTTCTCATGCAAACGTATGTCATGACCTTTTTGAACTCTTTACGTCGTTACAAATTTAATGTCATTTAAATGACCTCAAAGCATAATCTTATAACTTCCCGTGCAGGTAAATATGTTGAAAAAATTTGGATTCCAAACAGAAGGGTAAATATTAGGAGTTAACTTTGTTGCAGAGGTTGATGCATGTTATTTGCGATACAAGGAAAAATGTTCGGTAAATGCCGTTTGTGATGAAAAATCTCCAGAAGGACCGGAATGTGTCTGTAACGACGGTTATCATGGTGATGGCTTAAATTGTCTTAGAATTAACGCTCCAGTTGGTTTGTTTCATGAATGAATTTACTTATTTTTGTTTATTTCTAGGTTATTTTAGTAATTTTAATTGCATGAAGTGAATAAAATTTGTTGTAAAATGCAATGCAATTTGCTAATAATTTAATACCAAATTAAAATTTTCAGAGGAATTTCGAAAAATTTTTAATTTTTGCTTTTATTAAAGAGAATTTCACATTTATTTCGACTTTTTAAATCCAAAATTTGATTTATATTTTTTTAAGGCTACTGTCAGATGATGTACATTTTTTTTTGATATTTAATTTCATATTCCGATGGAATATTGTTAGGCATTTTTCAGAAGAACCAATAACACCAATCATAGATAATGCGATTACGGATGTACCATTGGGAATACCAAAAAGTGTTGAAATAGATAATGATATGGAGGAAACACCGTTCCTTATGCATAATTGGGAAAATGAAGAAGTAAAAAATTTTTTAACATCTCCCTTAATCTTTCTTATCTTTAAACGTGTAGTAGACGTAAGTTTTCAAATTTTTAAACGTGTAGGAGACGTAACGTGTAGTAGACGTTACTTGATAAATGATGAATTTTATGTATTAAAATGCTACTTTTGTCAGGTAAGCGCTGAATCAACGATACAGAAATATGAGAAGGAAAAGAACATGAAAATGCATACAACAACTACTCCACCACTTGCTAAAGATTACAATGATGTCGAGAATGAACTTTACATCGGTGGTAATACAATCGAAGAAACGGATAGTAGTAGCAGTAAGTACTATATTATGAGATATTTTGAAACAAATTCAATTTCCAATTTCAAAATATCACTGTATGGAGAGATATCGTATAAGAAGTGTATATAGTATGTTAAGCTAATTTATCAAGGGAATATCATTTGATCATTTGCGCATAAGTATTAGATGAGATGAGAAGGGAATATCATTTGACCGTTTGCGCATAAGTATTAGATGAGATGAGAAGGGAATATCATTTGATCATTTGCGCATAAGTATTAGATGAGATGAGAAGGGAATATTTTTAACAAAAGTCTGAAATTAAACCAATACTTCAGCACTTTTTATCGTGATACCAGTAGCCTTATGCGCTTTATGGGCTATCATCATTGTCATTGTCCTTGCTGTATGCTGCCGAAGGAAAAGGTTCATTTGAATATTTTTCACTTTTATCATCTAATAATAATTGCAATATTGATCAATGAATAGTATGAAATATCCTACAATGAGTGAAATGTTTAAATTAATCTTTCTTTTTTAAAAATTTTGTTCCATAAGTTAAAACCTTTTTCCTAAATTTTGAAATAGTACGGGTTTACTCCTTCAGTTATCCATGATTGAGATATATTGATCTATTGATTTACTTTAGTCAGTTGACATTTCGAGAATATACACCGCTGATAACTAGCTTGGTGTTATCATTTTAGCATCACGATAAAGCATTCTGATTAGAATATATAAAAATAAATCTAAGAAGAGTTTATGCTTTTGAGACAAAATAATCATTGATATATAATTCAGGAAATTATCCTCGCCGTTAATGTTCCAAGATCCGGTAAGTATGGCTAATTGGAGGAAGGCACCACAAGTTATGAGTACATATCCCAATCATTTTGCTGCTCAATACTAGTTGTTGTTTTCATCTTACTAAAATATTGTTATTTCCTCTTCTTTTTGTGTCTTTTTCTCCATATGATTATCCTTATTAGTTTATGGTCTCTCCTTATGAAGTCAAATCCGGAAATCCCCGTAGTGCAACAGTTCCGGTTGAAAGATGAGCATGAAATAGTAAAATTGTTCTCTCCTTCGTTCCACCTGCTGCTTAAATATTCGACCATATGGTCGTGTATTAATTCCTGAAAGGGATTTATGATGCCAGTTGTTTATTTCATATATCCATCCTAGACCATTGACTATCTAAATAAGTTGGTCTTGGAGCAATATTTCCTCGAATATCCTGAATCTTTCAAGAAATTTCCTCATTCAATTTATTTAAGTATATTAAATGTCTTTCGGTATTTTACTACCGGATCCAATTTAAAACCGAATCCGATTTAAAATATCGTATTCAGCATGAAACTAACAATTCTATTACAATATCTGTTCAAAAAAGTATGAAAAGAAGCAGGGATAATTTCCAAATCAATGTTACAAATTATTTGTTTGCTATGTAATAATTTACTTTATCTATCAAATTTTATCATTTCCATTGTTACATTTCGATTGTACAGATAGAAGGTAAGAATTACCCTTACCAGGAATGTATATTTGCGCCATTTTATTTGCTTAACAACAAAGGTCAACTTCTCTAACTGGTCAATTCACTGGTCAGTGTCTCATCGACCAAATAGCTGTAGACTTTATACGATACCAAATGACCATTAACCTTCTCCATCTTAACAGTAGGATAGTGGCGAAAACGTGATTATACATACGTGTTTCTTCTTTTCCCTTCATCCTACTCTTTCTTAGTACTAGAAATATATATATATATATGTATATATGTTGCGTACAGTAATGCGTCCAATGCTCCCATCGATGTCACAATCAAAACAAAAAATTACGAGTAAATTTGAAAATATTACTCAGCAAAATTAGCAATAAAAGAATTGATATGAGAACAATTAAGAAGATGATAAAAGATAGCTGATCCTGATTGATCGATCTCTGATTATTGTTTTTAATGAGAAGAGAAAGGTTAAAACGAGGGTCAAGGTGGAATATGAAATGGAAAGTAACAATTGAGACTCATTTAAAATATTAAATAAAAGCGGATGATCATTGTAAAAAGGAAGTGGAAAATGTTAAATTCGTTCAAAAAAAAAAATTTGTTTTTACTCATTTTATTTTAATTTTAATTGGAAATATGACAAATGACTTATTGGCTGAGATCGAATGATAGACTCAATTAGTATAATGATCAGGAAAAGAATGTATTGTTAATGGGACAATAATACCTGAGAAATTTGTAGGGTATCTTCTTTTTCCTATCTGCTTACATAAAAAAAAAAAATGACAACAAACTTGTATTCTGGTCATCTCCAATTAGTGTCATTTAACAATTTCAGACAATAAATTAAAAGAATAATTTATAAGTTAAACTTTTCACTTGATTGCTTTTGCATTTTTTTGTCGTGACCTGAAAAAGAGATTTTGAATATCTTCATTCTGAGTTATTTATACTTACCAAAATTTATGCATGCATAATTAAGTACCACCTGGATATTTTATCGGTGGGAATGAGTGCAAAGGTTAATTAGTTTTTGAAGAATATCTAAGTTCTAAATTAAACTAAGTCAAGATGACCTGGTTCAAATCAGTGACTCATCAAACAGCTAAATGAAATGGTCAGGAAAGAATATCATTTTTTAAAAATTCATACATAAATCATTTACTTTAGCTCAATGTATCTTTACAATATTTGGAAGGAATTATAAGTTACAATGAAAAATTTTTATCCAGAAAATTTGTTTGTATAAGAAATAACCAGGAAGAGAAAGTTGAATCAAACTGTTTATGGATATTCACTGGGATGATTGTTAATGAATGTTTTTAAGTTCTCCATATAATTCCGGAAAAAGGTACACATTGATGCTTCAATAAGACGTCGCGGGATTCCGCTCTGTAATTTATTAAGTTTTTCAAATTTTTAAATCCTTTCAAAAAAAAAATGAAAAATAAAAATTTTAAAAATAAAAAAAAAATTCTTCCTCTTCATAAAAAATGAATTATTAAAACTTTTTTTTTTTTTTAAAATACATAGCGTAATGTTATGTTGACGTGATGACATGTTTGATTAAATGTTAAAGGAAACAAAATTGATAATTTAAAATGAAAGTTAATTCGAGAAATGTTGATGATATGTCAATAAAAATAATAAGTTATCTAACACATTACAGTACTAATAATCTCATCTATTCAAAAAAATATCATTTATTTTAAAGTTATCAAATATGAATTGAACCTTAATATCACTGTCCTGAATCCATTCAACTTGAGACATTTTTGAATCATTTAAGTTACGTGTTACACGAATATAATTTGCTCCATTAACTCCACGTACGAGTTTTTGATTTCCATTTGTTGGTATAATTGAAGAATCTACGGAGACGTATGCTCCTTCGTAAATATCTTTTTCAGTATCAAGAATCATTCGACGAACATCCAAGAAATCTCTGGAATTACCTGTGCTACTTCACTTTTCATGTTACGGTATTCTGTGCTATGGAGAAAAAAAAATGCTGTCGCATTTAAGGATAATATTAGATTTTATAAGAAGTTTATGATTTTAAGTCAAGTTATTTTGATTAAGTTTTCGATTTCCGATTTAAGTTTATGCTATTACTGTTGGAAATAGCCTGAAATTAGCTTCCCCCTTGAAAGGTTATAACTAACCATCGATTTCTATCTATTACTAAAATTTAATTAAATGGTCTAAAAGTCAGTATCATGAGTTTCCTCTGAAATATCGATAAGCTGTATACAATTCGTTCAGCCAGTCAAAGGAATAATCAAACTGATAATCAAATTGTTTCCTTATCAACATTAAAATTCATTTTTTAAAATTCCTTCCTCAATTTTTATAAAATATTACGGTGGAAAAAAAACCGGAAGGAAACGGCTAACCGCGGTGAAATGTAGCCACGCATTATTGGGGCGGTAGTGATATAAACCAGTTCTGTAGTGGGATCAATGTGAAGTACAACCTAGAATAGCAAATTCTAAAATAGCTTAATTTATGAAATTTAAGAAAATAAAAATGAGTGATTGCACATTTGCATTTTTATTCTTTTAATTCAAGAATTTAATTATCCTAAAAATATCTCAAAATACTGTGAAGTTCATTTTAATTCCCATTTGAATAAATAATTAATTAACTTTAAAAAGAGATACTTTAAAGTCGGTAATTTGCTTATTCCATAATTTACTGTCTCTCCAAATAATTTTGAATAGTGATTTTGGTGAGCATGCAAATATATCCTGAATAAAATAAACTTGCTTCTCTTTCGAAATACGTATTTCAGGATTACTCCTGAAATTACAGCGATATTTATAAGAAAGTTTTATTCTACAAAAAATGCAACCGTGAATTTGTTATGTTCATCTTAATTAAAGCACTTCAAATTTCACATCATCATCTTTGCTTGTTCTCTAAAGAAAAACAAAAATGATGTGGAAATATATTAATTAGGCCAAATTGATTCCTGGTATTTAGAGCTTATTTAAACTAAATTATTTAAATTCATTCGGTAAAGTTAAATTAATTGCAAAATATTTGGGTATAATCCAACAAAGTTTACAAACTTCTATCTCGAAACAGAATAATATGACTATTAGGACATGAAAAGTTATCGTAGCATTTCATCGTTTACCTGATATTTTACTTGAAGATTGTCAAAATTAAACTGAATTAGGAAAGAAAGCTAAAATTAGTTACCTGTGCAAAAGTTTCCAGGTATTGGCTTGCGTTAATAATTCTTTAGCTTTCAACTTTGCTTCTTCTACTTCTTCGATATATTGCGCTTTCGAGTATACCTTTCCTGCAATCAATATCGCTGATAAGTTGTCGTCATCCGAATCTGAAATTAGAAAATGAAGCGCAAAGAGATTATTGCCTTAAAGATAGGAAGAAGAAGAATGGATAATTGTATTCAAAGATATGTTCAAAAATTAATGAATATTTCATAAAAATTAAAACTTTCCATTCTATGAAGAATCAAATGTATGTATTGATTCATCAATTTGATGTAATCTGTTATGATTAGTCTTCTTGCTATAATACTTTTAATTATCTCTTATCAGTAAATTTACTTCCTCATTTTCTTATCATATTTGTACTATGATCCTTCATTCTTTGTGATATTGATTAGAAGTACAACTTTTTTCAAACATTTTGTTTAACTATTCAGAATAATTGGATTCGATTGAGTGTCAAATGATCAATCCTTGCATATTTAACTTCCATCGTTCAGATATTTCTTTTCCTTTTTTTTTCGGCAATGTTTAATTTTAAAACCAATAAATGAAATTAGTTGAAATGTACCGGAAGAACATTCCATAGCTGAACGGAATTCTTCATCGGTTTGTGCATTTCGTTCTGAGACTTCCGAAGGAGTCTTATAGTTTGGCATAATCATGTAACCACGCTCACGTGGTAAGATATGAAATGGTACCAACCAAAGCTGGAACCAAGCAACCACAAATGAAGATACTAATACCGTATATTGTGGTAAATTACCCTGTGCTGGTGAAAAAAAGAATAGTGCCTAAAAAAAAAAAAAAATGTCATTTTAAAGGAGTAGCCTGAAAGTTTAGATTTGGAATATTAAATGGATTAATCAATTTGACAGAAAATGGTATATTTAAATTTTTATTGACAAATATAATTGATATAAGTGTTAAGAAAATAAGAATAGAAAGTGTTATAAAAGGAAGTACTGTAAAAGATAAGCAGAATTTCGTCATTATACAATATTTTAGTTCGATTTATTATTTAATTCGAATTGAAATTTATTTCAGTTTTATTCAATGTGACCAATTCTGTTCAATCTTTATTCAAAATTATTCAAATTTTACCCAAATTTCTCAATTATTCCCCGTATATTTATCTTTATTTAATTTCAAATTTTTGTCTAAATTGACTTTTTAACCTTTTTCTAATTATTTTAATAGTTAAAGAAACCTTGACAAGGAGGAAAATTGTTGTTGCGATCGTTGTAATGGCGACTGGAAGCCAATGTCCAATTAATAAGATGGAATAGAAAAGGATGAGAATGCACATACGAATAACTGCTGTGATCTGAAATAAGAATTAAAAGCCAAGTTCTTTCTTAGCCAAGTTCCTCCTTATCATATATTCCTAATATCACCTTCTCTTTTTGCACAAACCTAAACTTTTTGAATTCAGATAATATCAAATATCATATTCGATTGATACATGAATGGGAAGTATAGCGACATCTGATAAATGTCCACTTATTTACTTAAATAATCAATCAGAATTCAAAAAAAAAAAAAATGGAATTCATGATAACTTACAACAACATCAAACAATGAAAGCTTCATGAAATCCGGTTGCAAAATATCAACCTCACGAAGAAATACCACTGGCCAATCACTACCTTTGCTCACCTGTTAAAAAGAATTAATCAATTCAAGTTTTGATAGAAATAATCCCAAGAATTAACCTTTCTTCTTTATCCATTCCTTTTCTTTACATCTGACTTCTTCTGATAATACTGCCTTGTTTTCTGATAAAAAAAAAGTGGAAAAAAAAACTGACATGCAGGTTCTTTTAAACTTAGGATGAGTCAGTACTAAATTTAGTGATTCCCAAAATTATCATTTGGTCAATGGATGGTAAAATATTTTTCATTGTGTAAATTCGATCCATCAACCATATACTGTTATGATAATTGTTCAACAAATAGTTCTGATAATTGCTATACCATCGTAGTAAATAGTGATTTTCATGTCGAGAAATGCTTACCGTAGAAATGACCCACAGTAGAGCTGTCAGACACACGTCAAATACTGTCACCACCGTAAATCGTCGACGATCCTTGAAAAAAAACGAAAGATCATTTAATACAAATTTTTATCAAATTGTTTGCTTTAGTAAACTGAAATGCGAAAATTCAACATGAATCGTTAAGTGAGTTTTTTTTAGATGTCAATTTATCTTTTCCACTATCTGTCGATAGTTAACAATTAATATTCTTCCATCCCTTTTTCCGGAACAAAAAAACGGAATAACGTTTTGACTTTTGACTGTATAAAAACTCTGCCAGAAGTGATTCACACTAAGTAGCCTATATAAATTTACATTTATTTATGTTATCATACTGATAAAAATGAAACTTTCCTAAAAGTTGAGGAAAAAAAAAGTGCGATATTAAAGAATTAATTGGAAAATATAAATTATCAACTAACTTTACTTATCCTCGATTCGCCTGATAAGAAAAATTCCTCTGTACTATTCATCTTCTGATATAGCATAACTTGGTTTTCTTCATTATTTTTTCCCACACCTTTTTGTTCATCAGTGCCACTCATACGTTTTCTTTTTTTTTTTTTATCAAATTTTATATATCTAAAAGAAGATTATCATTTCCAATTAGATATGAACAATTAATTTCTATTTTCGTATTTTTTCTCCTTTTAGATAATTAAAATTTCAGTGATAAAATTGCTAACTTAGATAAAAAAAAAGAGGAAAAAGCAAAATATCAAAAAATAAATCAAACGATTAGTTCAATCGAAATACCAAATTTTTACTTGAATAGAATCGCAATAAGAATTAATTAAATTTAATTACGGAGAGTTTTTGAAAAGTTAATTAATGTTATCATGTGTTTGATTTTTTTTAAACATATTTACATGCATGAAAGTTTAAGTAAGCTATCCATTATTAGGAATATTTTGACAAACGAAATTTTTTAATTGTAATAAGCTGAAATTTCTCCGAAACAGTAATGTATGCTTTAATTGCTATAATAAAATTAAAATTAAAAATTTTTTTAAAAATGAGAAAAAAATAAAATTAAATATATTTAGAGATATTAGCAAAGAATGAAAGAAAAGCAACGAAGTTATGCATGTGCATTATCAGTATCACAGTTCTAGTGATGATACAATGAGTTAAATTCTGCTCCTTCTCTCTCTCATCATTATCATTAACACTGTTCACTGATAACACTAATGACACTCCTATACAAATATACACTACTATATGCATGGCAATTGTTATCATTTAACTTCATCTTATATGACTGATAAACAATTATTTTTAAATTCTCAAAAAGTTCTTATAGAAGAAGAAAATGAAAGATATACATCAAATAAATGCTTAATGATTATATAAGTTGACAGTAATGAAGAATAGGAATTAAAATAAACAACAAATTTGAATTAATTAAAACTGTTTGTCCATTAAAATGATAGATGTCAAAAGTCATTCAATAAAAATAATTAAAATTCAATCATTAAAGAATGAGAATTGCTATGAAAAAGCTACAAATAAGTTCATATCGATGATTCATTTATGAGTTTTTGATGACTAACTGATTAATCTGCTGATTGATTAGCCAAATTGCTGATTCATTCTGTTTCGATTCTTGCTTAAAATTTGTTTCACGATCAATAAATGCTGATAATTGCATGAATTGTTTATGAATTGTAATCTGATCATATCATTTGTGTCACCAAGCAATGTTATGAGTTAACCTGAAAGCTTTAAAAGTGATTTATAAGAATGATTTGATTGATCTTCATTGGTACATTTAGATTTTAATGATATATTATTGACATGCAACAGTCTTAATTAATAAGGTTATGCCATGCTAATTAACATTAACCAATTAGCATAGCATAACCTTACTAATCAAGGTGTATCAACTAATTACAACTTGCTACATTATTATATAATTCTTCTTTCATTTATGCCAAAAAGTTTAATTTCTTCGAGTAGAATGTTCTAACAATAATTGAGGATAAAAAGGAATGTGAAATCTATCCTTTACGGTATGTTGAAATGATCTTCTGAATGTTTCGAAATGTCCATTTTATTGTCAAATGCATTTGATAGAACTGATTTACTATCTTGATATCATGTTTCAAGATAATAGAAAAATCACTTCAAACCATTACCATTACCTCTTGCATGTGACTCTTCTGAATTCAATACTGTCATTTATTATAATGAAGATAAAGCAACTAGAAATCATCCCAATCAATATTATCAGATATATCAGTGTACCAATGAATGTTTTAGGTTGATAACGAATTACGATACTCTCTCTATTATCAATGAATGTTTTAGATTGATAGCGAATTACAATACTCTCTCTACTACCAATGAATGTTTTAGGTTGATAACGAATTACAATACTTTACTATCGTTAATGAATTCATCACTTTTTTGACTGTTTATTTCGAAAAATTCTATTAACTTTTGAAATTTTAACCAAAAAAAAAATTTTAAGAAACATAATGTCCAGTGGAAATCATTCATATTGAGAAAATGAAAGTATTCGATGAAGTTGCTAAACCATTAAGACTTAATTAAGGTTTAGCAATAACAATTAGCTTTGATTTTTTTTTTTTGCAATAAAAAGTAGCAGTACTTGCCTATATTTCTCGAATAATCGTTCGTAAATAGAAAATATGTAAATAGGCTTGTATTGCATTTGTCATTTCTGGATTATTGCAAAGCAAAAGCTCAAATCCTTGCTGAAATTTCCAACTTGTTGCAATTTTGCAAACAGCAAAATGTTGCATCATAACATGCAGGAATGCAACAATTAGAGAGAACAAAATCTGCATGTTGAATTGCATTTCTGTAACATTAATCAAATGAAACGACTACAGTAATGCGGTCATTACTACTATAATACTGTCCATTAATCTGCATAATGTCACATAATTATCCCTCGTATCGGAAATTATTTCCGATTTTATGAGGACATTAATGTTATTTGTATCATAGAAAGATGAAGGAATGCTTAAGTGATGTGACGTGATGTTTGCTTAATTAACATAATACATACAGTTAGTTAAATTCATCCCTCAAAACTAAAATGCAAACTTATTTCATTAATTTCTTCCTATAAAGCAGATTTTGAATGTTTAAAAAGTTTTTGAATAATAATAATAATAATAATAATAATAATAATAATAATAATAATAATAATTTTAATGATTGAAATAACAAATCTTACATTATAACGGTAATTAGGATGATATTTTGATTTCCAGAAAATTCCTTTAGATTAAGAGATAGAGTTGTATTATTGTAAAGAATTAAAAAAAAATTTAGGCTTTATCATCTGTTTAATATCTCATATTCCGTACGGTAGCCGGATCAAGTTAAGTTTCACCATTATAACTCGATCTTCAATACCGGTTTCGATGCTAAATGAAAGATGGGAGAATGCTAAGCAACGGTTCAGCTCTTATCCCAAAATATATTTTAATTTGTAAACAGAAAGGAAATACGAAGAAGTATTTGACAGTGTTGTATTGTTGTTTGTACACAAACTCTCGACGATACTAACACAAGTGAACATAACATAGACGTTTGTTATCTTATCAATCATATGCAGCAATCTAATCCATAATATTAAAGTAATTAAGAAATATCTTATCAAATGTTGTTATCAGAATGAATGATATCATAAGTGAGTATATTATAATAAGATCTTAACATATCGGAGTAACAGAGTACGTTTAGGAAGATATCATTAAATAGAACAAAGTTAATCAAAGCAAACAGTAATAACTCTAATTAAACGCTGAATAATTTTTCTAAATTTTTCATTCATTTATCGGTCTACTGATAACTACTGATAACGGAATATCTGATGATAACTAGTTCGAATTTCATGCAGTATAAGAGAAGAAAGTGAGATAGGAAAATATTATTAAGTAAATTAAAATTGATCAAAGCAAATGACAATTTGGCAAAACAAAATGAAATTATATAAAAACGAGAGCATTCATTTAAAAAAAAGAAAAGAAAAATGAGAAATTCATCATTTTCATTTGATCTAATTAGTTGCATTTGAAAATTATTCAGCGAAAGTTTTGAAGAGTCTCATTCCTTTAAATTATTCTTTTTTTCTTTTTGTAGATGATATGGGTCAATTATCAAATGATAATATCATCGAACTTTTTCTGTTCAATGTTGATAGCCAAAATTACGAGAAATACATCAAACAGTAATTTTTATTTCATCATTTCTTAAACTTACTTTTTCTTATCATAACATAACCATTGCCATTTTTACACAAACAAAGTTGTTTTGATCTTTTTTTTTATTTTTTGGTTTTTGAACTTTTTTATTTCATTTAATTTTGAAAATTTTCGAGTACTTTTAAACTTTAAGTTACTATTCAGTTTGTGTTCAAATGATAAAAACTTTTTGTTATAGTCAAAATGATTGATTAAGTTTGACAATTTATACTCAATCAATAAATCGATCAGTTATAGAATACTGTTAATTAAATTATGGATTATCCTCGTATGAATTTGTACAAATACAAAAATAAATCTGAACTAAAGCTCAGTAACAGTAACGATCAAATTAGTTTTCCGAAAATATATCAATTATGAATTATTATAATATTTGTAACAATTTTGAATATAATTATTACCTTAGTTCAGGTGTACTAATTATGATGATATGTTTAGGATCCAATTTCAATCACATTTTATTTTTGGCAAAAATATTTTCCGCTCATTTATTTTGATTTTTATCATAATAAAACGAATAGGTAAACCAATAAATTTGTTCACATTTGACAATTTTAAAAAAAAAAGAAAGAAAGAAAGAAGGAAATATACATTTTTCCTCTTCGTTTACCAATCAAATCGTTAATATTAATGTTGTTTATTTATGTTGAAAGTTTAAAAAAAAAATAACTGAAACTATTAAATGAAGGCAATAACATGAACAAATCATTAATACGAATGGAAAAAGAAAAATGTTGTCATACAAAAGATGGCAAAGTAAATTTTTTTTTTTTGCATAAATTTTCAAATGTTAATGATATTACTAATTAGAATACGGTACAAATAATTCTGTTTTCAGAATTTGATTCATAATAAAAATTATTGAGTAAATTTCAAGAAAGTAAAAGTGTCATTGATATTTTTACATTGACACTTTTCGCAATCATTCGTTATCACTTCGAAATACTTTTATTTGTTTCTTTTAATTTTTATTTACAAATTATTTTTTTGCCATTAATTTCTCTCTTGAATAAGCTTGAAATTAGCAAAAATTTTATTTCCAAATTCTAACTAATACTCGACTAAGTCAGATTCAAGCAAAAGATTGAGTTTAAATTTGTTTCATTTGTTATCTTTTATCAACGATGTATTTAACTGTAATATGAAATAAGGTAGTATAACACAAGGTTTTGATAAAACATAAAAGTGTGGGTAGTGCAAATGAACATGACAATATGGTAAGAGGATATGGAAGATACTGTATCAGAAGATGTTAAACTTATGAGAAGGATCGATTGAGTGATTTCATGATAGTATTAAATATTAATATTAAAAATATTCTTTTAAATTTCAGTTTATTACTTTTATCTAATTTCAATCAATCTATTAATGTATTATTGTTCTTCTTTCCCTCAAATATAATATTGTATCGATGTTACTGTCAACAATTTACCACAATGTTTGCTATCATTCGGTCACTCATCACAACAATCCCACTTTCATTACTGTCAATACATCACTACAACTGCAACTGTCATAGCGATAATGAACGAATGCCAAAACATCACTTTAGCATCATCCTTCTTGAAGAAGAAGGAAAAGAAGAAGACGACAAAAGGTGGAGTATATTGGCTCATGGCACTATCTTACCCGACTATTTGTATGTGTCACCAAAATTAAGAGTCACAGCTGATGAGCACGGGAACAGCGATTCCTTTCTTGTCTCTATCTCCTCCATTCCTTTCCTCCCACTTCTTCTACCTTCGTAACCTCATACTCATATGACCCCACTTCTACAGGTCGTCTCCTCATCCCAGTGCCCCTCTTGTTGACCGAAATTCTCGGACATTATCGTTATTTTCATTGGCATTGTTTCAATGTAGTCGATGCTGTTATGGCGTAATTACGAAAATTGAACTTGAAATACTATCATCTCGTTATTTCCGAAATTCCGGATAACCTTTCGAATCAGTGTTCTTCGACTAAATTAATCTTTTGATTTCCTGTTTCACTATCCGAACAATCTTCTTATATTCAATAAAGGTATCATTATAATCTTATATCTCACATGACGCACTTTCGAACACCGATCACTCTGTATTGATTAATACTTTCAATGGGGTCACACATCAATCAGTCATGACAACTAATCATATTAATGTCATCTTCATGCCTTTGTCTGAAAATACGAAATGTGAAGAGATTGATCAATTGATATGGAAGTTAAATAATTCCTGGCAATTACAGCGATAAGGAATATTTAACAAATTTATTATCCACAATTAATTACTCATCATAATTATCTATGTTATATAAATTAATGAATGAAAGGATAAACCTTTGACAGTCATTTTTTTTTTTTCATAAAATTTGTAAATGCTTAATGGGATGTTAACCTCTTTTTGAAATTCACAAATATCATTGCTACCTTGTTGGAAGAATAATTATACATTGACAAAACATAATAACTCTAATTATCATATCATTTTCTCTTATCTTTTATCTGAGATTCATTATATTGCAAACATTTTGATATTTAACTTCCATTTAACTTCACATCAAAATTCAATTTTTTGAAACAAAAAAAAAAGCGATACATCAAACAGAATATGTTTTTAATTGAGCGGCCGATTGAATACATTTCCTGATTCATTTTTCATTTTTTTTTTACATAGCAACGAAATATGTTCGATTTGTTGTACAAAACATTTTCTCCAAGAAAATGGCGCTGTTGGAATAAGTAAGGAAAAAATAAAAGCGGAAATAAGAGAGGGAAAAGAGTAGAAAGGAAAGTGATTTCTATTCTATCAAATCAAAGAATGAATGACATTTTTTTTTCATTGTAACAGTCAAGAACATTTCTCGATACATTTTTCATATGATATTTTATTATTTTCTTAATTTGCAATTTTTTTTTTAAAAAAAAAAAACTTTACGATGACGTGATTGTCAACTTTTTTCCGTATAATATAATGACTGGCCGGATAAGTATTGGTTGTTGAAAAGGACGACATTTTCTCAACTATTTCTTCATTTTCTTAAAAACTATGGAAGAGTAATGGGCTAGAAGAAATATTAGGATTCAGGAGAGTTTGAATCTTTTTCTGAATAATATTCATTAGTTAGGGCTAAAAATATCGTTCATTCCTTAATACAGGAAATTATTTCTGGACATTGGCCATATTCCGGTACCATTAAATTATTCCATTTTATTCATTCTTTACTAATGTCTAGACTAAGACCACCATTAGTCGGAACATTTCAGTGACATTTAACTGTCACCCTAAAAACTGATAAAATTCAGTGTGTAAAAGAAATAATTTTATGATGAAGTATTCTTCAATTAATGAATTATTTTAACAAACTTACTTTGTGTTAAGCTTTTTTTTGTGTCCACCATTCTTATCCTTTACCAATATGTAATCCATTTAACATTTTGGTACTTAAAGCTTAGCTACGACAAGTTATTGCTGGTTTTTTAGTATCAATTTTATGTCAACAAATGCATCCATTATCATCACTTGACAAACCTTTCTTGTCAGGTTTGTTTGTCACCAAACGGGTTTATTTTGCCCGTTGTCTTTTGGTGACGGTCATTTATTAAAATAACGAAACTTTTCGCAAATCAACCCTGTATAGCAACCTAAAAAAAAGGGTTTGTTGTAATAGAAAATGGAAAATGCCACATTTCGAATAAATAAGTATTGTAAGAATGAATAAATTTTCGAAAAACAACTATTACAAAATTGGGCAACTATGGAAGGATTTAGGTCCGGTTGTCCGGTTATCCGGTTATCTGTGGGAAACCGGAGCTGAATTCTTACAATATCGCTCTCTAATAACACTACCAAACAGTGATAATATATTAGTAGTATTGTACAAAATTTCATCCCATACTTTTCCAGAATTATTGCTGTTTAAAACTTTTTTCGAAAAATGAATTTTGCATATGCCAATGTTTTTCATTCTTTGACCTATATAAGAGACCACTCTCTTAAACTTCTCTTTCTCTCTCATTCTTTCTTTTAATCCTGTTGTTGTTCCGTTTTACCTACTTATTGAATTTAAATTACAAATTAAAATTTTGTCCTTTATATTTCGTCTTTTAAAGCAATCGATCAATAATTTAAGAAAATCTGATTGATATTTATTTGATTCCCGCCCGATTTGTTCCTAATTTGTTTAATTTGAATGGAATTTAAATTTATGATTTGCTAGGAAGTTGTAACCCTTCGTTTCCTTTCACGTAAAACCAACGGCATATGACGTTACCACGTAATTTGTAATGTATCTAAGCAATTTGGAAGAGATGATGGTACTTCCGTCATTTATAGGAAAAAATTTTAAATCTTTAAGTACAGTAAACTGAGGGAATATTTTTAGGTAATTATCTATCCATTGTCACATACAGATTACTTTTTCCCAACAGGGCAAATATCTTATCGGTGACTTTTTCTTGTCGATAGGAAACTTTGACATTTTCCCAATAAATTAATACATGAAAAAAAAAGGGAAGTATGGAATTGCAAATAATTTGCAACAATCGTCAATGTTTTTTACCAAAAATAGTTTGCTTTTTTTGATAAATTTTTTAATTAATCATTTGTTTTTCTCTTTTCATATTATCATTCAACGATAAATAATAGGAGAAAAAAGTTGGAAATAAAGCAATCAGCCAATTTGGATCTGTTAAAGATAGATAAAAGTTGAAAAGTGGAATATTAAAAGAGAATAAAAATCCCATATTATGGTCAAATTAATTAACAAATCAAATATAATGAGTGCAGAGAAAACAAGATTAGTCCCGAATCAATTTCAGGTCTCTAAATCCATAGGTATGTAAATTACCGGAATGTATTGAGAAGTTTGATTATTTAATTATATGTATTTTGCTTCATTTACATTTTCTTTTTTTTTTTAATTTAATTTCATAATAATATATTCATTTTTCTCCTTTAATTCATTCATAAACTTTTACATTTGCAATTGAGAAAAATCTATTGGAAATATAAAAAGAACAGGACTCACTATTGCTTTCTGCTCTGAGAAAATATTATCCTGAGATTTCCGGAAGAAAAATAATAACTTAGCTATCAAATAATCAAATTATCGATGACTAGTATTGATTACAATGCTCATCCGAGCGTTAAAACTCCCGGGAATGTAATCCAACATGTTTTGGTCTTATTTACATCATACTACCAATTCCTATATCATGACAGAATGGTTATAATGCTGAAAAATTTAATATAAATTAATTCTTTTTTATGACACACACAGAGACAGACAAACACAGACACAGGCACACATACATAAATTTCACATATGAATGTTTCTATTGTTCACTAATAATTTTAACCAGGCTGAAATGATCCGTGAAATTATTTTTAAATGTCCCATTTTATGCAAACATCTCTTTCCCATTATTGCCATCAGCAATGGATGCAATATTTGACAAGAAAATATTTCAAAAATTTGAATGAAAACTTCTCATTTCAACAACTCCCTTTTCAAGGACTTTCATTATGTTGCATATAAAAATTAAAAACTTTATGTAAATTTAATAAGTTTAAGATTATAAATCATTATTAGTTTTTATTGTGTTCATTGATAATACAATGCTATCATACTTAAGTATAAATTTGCATATACAAAACCATTAGCTAAGTATATTTGATAATAAGCAATTCATGCAAATCCTTTCTTTTTTATCTTTCCATTGAAACTAAGAAAAATTTGTGTTTTTTATAGTTAACTCTTATCTTTTAATTAATAAATTAATTGTTTTAAATGTGAAATTATTATTGCTAACATATTTACTACAAAAATATTATTTATTAAATTAATATGCTTAAAGTATAGTTATCCATTGAAATTATGCTAATTTATGCTTATTACTGATCATTTTTTACATTTTTATCATAGAAAATTCATGTATTTTAATGTAAATTTGTATTTTCAATTTCCTGAAATGAGATTTTTTTTTTCTCCCAAATTTTTGATATGATATTAATTTGAGGGACTGTACCGGAGCACTGTCAAAATTTTACGGTCATTTGGTGGCGATTGCTGCAGAATGACAAAGTCAAAGTCATTTATCATTGTCTCCAAGAGATTCATGACTTTATATTTAACCATTCATTCGCCTTCTGATTTGAGCTTTTTTTTTTTTGAATAGGTCGCATCATTTACCGCTAGTTGCCGATTCACTTTATTATTATCATAGGTAAGCATCAGTAGTGATAACTGAACTAAAAATAATTTACTTTCAGTTTCCATGCCATAAATATGTCCTATTTAGTGCTATTAGTTCATTAGAATGCTAATAATATGCTAATTAGTTTCATTACTAATTTACAGTAGTTTTAATGATATTTATGAGTATGATTAATTTATAAGGATGAAAAAAGATATGATATAAGTTGAGCTATTAAATCTTGAAAAAGATAGGAAAGTGATCATCAAATATGCTTTGCAACTCCCTACTTCAATAACTATTTTTACTTCTCTGTCCAAATTATGACTAAATTCATTTGCATAATTAATTAATTGCTATTAATTTCAATTTGAAATCAATGTTATAAGTTAATTTCTATTCATTGGTATTTTACTCATTGCTTTCATTTCTAAAAAAATGAGAAGAATTTGAAATTATCCTTTAAGGAATGGGAAAGATTAGTTTTTTTATAAATTTGTAAAGAGAAATTGGTGCAAATATGTAGTAAATGATAAAAGAATGCTTTTTCATAGTTCAACCCACTTTTGTAACCTTTGAACTTCCTTTTTCTCCTTTTGATTCCAACCTTCCAACAAATATAATCCTTCATTTCCACATAAATTGACAAACGAAAACTTATGCAATGATTCTAATGATTAGTAATAGCAGTACTGATAAAATAAAAATGCTAGTGATGATAACAATGATAATAACATGGTTGATAATAATGATTACAACATTTATTGATGATATCGATATAATAATGACAGCGATAACAGCAATATGTTATTACAATGTATGAAAACTGTTCACATCATGATTACTGTTATTACTAATTATTATTGTTATTATCATTACTTTTATTACTTGATCACGTATTATGAGACTATGTTATCGTAAACTAGTTATTAATATTCGGTAATAAATTCACTCCAGTAATGTTTTTCTTTCCAAAACCGGTCCTGTCATCATTTGTGTCAACCGAATGTTTTCCTTTTGCTAATTGCTTTCTCATTCCTTATCCCTTTCCTATCAAATTACCGTTAATTAAATATTTTTAAAATATCAATAACCACTGTTTTTTGAATATCAATGATTGTTAACAAAATATTTTTGTTAAAATCCATATCAAGTAAACCATAATTGTTTCACATCTCAAAGATACCAGGTGTTTATTTCAAATATATGATAGAATTAAACTCCTAAAGTGATAGGAGAAGTGATTACAACATATCAAAATTCAAGGGATGTAAATAAAATCAATGATATGAAAGAATTTATTGATAAAGATATCATTAACTTCTTAAAATTAATTTTACTCCTTCAATAACCTTATAAAATAGAAAACAATTGAAAAGAATTAGGAAAGAAATAATTTGAAGGCCATTTTACAAACAAATCCTGTTCTTTTAATTTCCTCTGTAACAGAAGCATGATCGTTATGTGACTGTCATCACATATATACACCCATATACATATACACATACACACCCATACACACACATACAGACATGTATATTTCTTCAAATCAAAACGACTGCCGGTGACAACTTCTTCCCGTAAATAGCTCATCAATTCTTTAATCGATTTCATCTTCTATATATTTCATACTGATATTTTAGTCTTATAATTATCACACTCTATTCGATACATGATATCTATTGCTATTTATCACCAGGACCATTATCATCATCATCATCGTCATCATCATCATTATCAACAGCAGTCGTCTAAAATCATTTGAAAAATTAAGCCTAGTTACGGTAACTATGCCCAATGTTTGATATAAAAAGAATTCTTGAACATAAATCATAATCAACCTGATTAATATTTCACAGTATTTTACTTAGCTTAAACTAAACTTCTAGAATACATTCTATTTAATCATTGTCGGTGTTACAGTATAATATGATAAATATATCATAACAAAATCCTATTAAATTATTTTGAAATTTTAAAAATTTTAATCAGACTTTTTATATTTTAATACATAACAATGTTTATCAAAACTGATAACAATATGCTAATGTAAATTTTGATAATTAATTAAAACATCTGATATGAAAATATTTTAATTAATTATAAAAGATTAGTTTTGCATTTTGATGATAAAAGATAACAAAAAGAAATTTGAATAAAGAATGTTTAAAACAGATTAGAAGTAATATTAGTATAAATAGGATCAGAATTGTCTATCCTTCATTTACAGTTTAGTTTTTCCTCTTCTTGATTCATTCGTTCTTGACCTATATAAATCATATCATTCCAATCTTTTTTCCTTCTTCATTACCTGATATCCAACTTCCTTCCTCTCTCTCTCTCTCTTATCTTTCTTCTTTTCTTTTCATCCTTTTCCACCTATCTATTTCAATTTCATTAACTATTCGTTCTATTTTTCCTCGAGAATTAATACATGAACTTACTATTACGCACATATATCGACATCCAAGTAATTATTCCTCTACCATTTTCAATACATCATTCATTAATATTCTTAATTTTATGATTATTCTTATCATTATCATTCATAAATTTATCATTCATCTTCTCAATACATTTTTAATTATATCTATAGAAAATTATAACTTTCATAGAAATGATCATTTGAATACATTGTGTAATCTTGGCTCGAAAAATGTGAGGTTAAAGGTCTAAAGGTAATCATCATTGACATTTGACATTCAACATTAAACGTCTTCACGCATCCATGTCTAGTTTTGATTTCTCTAGGTCAACATCAATATATCATACTACAAAAAGAGTATTACATTTACAAATTGATCGATTAATTAATTAGGCGTTTCTCGATGAATCATAATCTTTAAATTGTGCAAATTTAATTTAAACTTTAATAGGCTTCAATTCTTTGCTATGGTGGCAGCACCATTCTGCCGATGTCGAGTACTTTATATCGGTAGTGCTGTACCAACAATAACCAAAGATGGACTACAAGGAATTCAACAACCTTTACGTGAACGTTATCCAATCGGTGGTAATGCTGATACAAAAGGGATTGATTCCTGGTTTGTGTCACATTTTTATCTGTCAACTTATATTTAATGATCAATGAGCATTATGTATTTTACGATTATTTATTACTTTTTCAAATTTTTAAAAAAGAATTCTATAGGCTTTTCTTTATATTTTATTAATAAATGAATAAAATGAAATCGTTGAATGGTTTGTTGAATGATTCGATCATGAAAAGTTGTTCAATTTGAAAGCATTAGAATTTAATATTGTAAAAGTGCAAGTTTTTTTTATCAATTAAATTTTTTTTTATTAATTAGTAAAGAAATTAATAATTAATTTCAGGTTATCAGTATGGTCTAATGGTTTGTTATTAGAATACATTGATGGTGATAAAAGAACTGAAACGGCTTTTCATCCAATTAATTCCCTACACTATTGTGCAGCAGTACGATATGTAAATGTAACCGGATATGCGATTGAAGGAGGTGGAGAACGATTTCTTCCTTTAGATTCACCATTTGCAAATGGTGAGGATAATCAACATCCACCAATTTTTGCTGCTATTTTTAGGAGGACAACTGGAATTAAGGTTAGTTCATCTTTTTTGGGGGAGGGAAGGGGAAAAGGAAAAGATTCTTGTTCCGGAAACTTTGATCAAAAAAACTGTGTTGAATCTTATAAGATAATATAGGATAATTCAATATCATCAAGTAATAACGGACAATATGACCTTTTAATTAATTAAAAACATACTTACAATGATACATATATATGTACATGAACTTATTTTACACTTTAAAATGAATCAAAAAAAAAAAGAAAAAGATAAATACAATTTAAACACTAAGCAACAAAATTTATGACATTTTTAATTTCAACAAAATTTACAACAAATTTGGTATGCCAAGAATTTACTCGAAATGGTATCATATATTTGAAAAATTAGATCAATTGTCATAAGCATGATGACATTGAACTTACTTTTTACTTATTAAATGAACTTTAATGGTTATGCAATAATCTTAAATCTGATAATAACCAATAAATCAATAATCTTAAATCTGATAATATGATAATAATTGTTAAATGTTTAACAATTAAGTTTATTTACAAATTTTCTAATTAAATATGAAAGGATCATTTAAATATTCAAATTTCTCACCTAGAATGATTCAAATTTCAGGTGCTAGAATGTCACGCATTTATATGTACAAATGCAAAAGCGGCAAATGCTCTCGTACGTTGCTGCTTCCATGCGTACGCTGAATCAATGTATATTAAGTTAGATGAACGATTACCCACTTTAAAATCTATTAAGGAAGCTAGTAGAAGTGCTAGTCCACCAAGTGAACCACTTCCAAGGTTTTTTTTTTATACTTATAATTAATTAGGCTATATAGCAACAATGTTTTAAATTAGGAAATAATTCTTCAATTCTTCTATTCTAATAATGAAATAGTTATGAGCAAATTTGAGGCGTAAAAATATTATGAATTTTTTCATCAAATTGATATAGGATGCTTTTTGGGGAGTAAAGCTATGGTAAAATCAAAAAAAAAATGTATTAAAATGAAATATAAATTAGGTAGAAGTTCAATGGTTCTGGTAATTTATAATTAATTTAAATTGAAATAATTGAATGAATTTTAGTGAAATCGAAGAAATAACGGCAATCGAAGATGACAAAGATTTGGAGCAACAACGATGGGCTGAACGAGCAATCGGTAAAGAAGCCTGGGAAAGGCGGCAACAATCAGGTGAATATGATTCGGCAAGTATATCTTCATCCATTGCTAATCGTTTTCGAAACAAAAAGCAAGGTCGTGATCGAACAAATGGTTAGTCTCATCGAATTATTAATTCACGAAATTTGAATAATTGACTGCTTCCTGATATACGGCGGTAATGACCTGGAATTAGCTCTTCTTTTCTCCAACAATTTGCATGTTTTTTTGGCGCTTCCAAATTATTCTGTAAGTATTTCATTCCGAGAAACAGTTTATCGATTCCAAATTTATACCAAATAAAATTTAGGGGAAAGTCTCATTGTTTGGATTTCTGTATGTTTCATTCAATTTAAGAAATGTCCGAAATGGTTTCGAAACTCTAAATGCCATTTACCGTATTTATTTCAATTCATTCAAATGGGTTGAATATGCTTGTAATAAAATGAATTAGCATCTGAAAATCAATACTATCCGGATATTTGATATAAGATAACCGTCGATATCATATATCCACTTGTCTTTGTTAAGCTTTTAGCTATCCATCGGTGAAGTAGCAGAGTCTTGACCTGTATGATATCTTGTTGTTAAATAATCATAATTCGACCTGTGAATGTCCACCGTACAGTTTACTGATGATGATTAGATCAATCTTCTTGTTTACTCAAACATCTTACTCATTTCACTAATTATAAGTGCTACCTGGGATTGATAGCTTCGGGATTGATAGCTAAATCAATTGTTTTCGTTCTGCTTCTTTACCAAAACATACAAATATAATTAATGAATTGGTAGAAGCTAAACAAACGATTGATAAATTCAATAAGTGTCACACTCTGTCCACCAGCATCCCTCATCCTTGAATTCTCCTTAAATTTGCTCAAATTGTGGCGTTAATGGGCCAATGCACCATTTGCCAAAATCATTTTGTTATGAATCGTTGAATGAGAAGAAAAATATCAAGCATGGGAATGACCAATTAATGACCAAAGAGTCTCCTTTTTTTGAAGAAGGAGAGGAAATAAGATTTTGGACCATCGATCAAACTGATAATCAGAGTGACAATAGGAAGTGGTCAACAAGAATCTGAAACTAAGTTAATCCATAAGCCAAAAAAGAAAGGGAAAAGAATAAGGAGGGAGAAGTGTTGTTATAGTAGCTTGGGAGACGATTGTAATGTGATTAAATGTCAAGGTCATCAAACCCTTTAATCAGATATGATAAATCAGGCTGGAATGATGGACAACTTTGATGGGGATGAGATGAGCATAAACAGCGAAAAGTTTGCTATCGTAAAACCTATTCAATAAATTTATTTTCTATCGCATAAAAGTAAGATACAATAGCTGAGGTATCTATTGTTAAGCAATAAAAAAAAGCAGTTCAAGGACTGACACTTATTTCTTTCTTTCTTTCTTTTTGGCAATTTTTGAAAGATTTTTACATTCAAAAATCTTTCAAATTCCGTTTCATTTCATTTTAAAATTAATTTTGCTAAATATCTTCAAGAATGTATAATAAATATGAAAGATAAAAAGCTTGTTGAATATTTAATCAATTTGGTCTAAAAAAAATAATTTGAATTACTTGAAAAGTCGGAAATCTCATCAATTGACCCATACTAATTCTTATTTACAGCAATTAATTATCATTCAATAATTAGTTTACAAGTAGTAGAATTCGTTTGAACTGTATTTCAACCATCTGAAATTAGCTGCTGCTATATTCCGATTGGTTAGTCTATTAAAATTCCAATTTCAAGTAAAAAATATTGATGAAGTGATTTCCCACAATTCGAATAATAGTTATCTATGAATTACGATAGTGTAATAATTTGCATGCCGTTGAACTTAAGAATCACGTTCATGCAGCATTTCACATCGTAAAAACGATCCATCCTAAAACTATACAGATATATTAAGAGAGAGAGGGAGAGAGAGAGAGAGAGAGAGAGAGATGAGAAGGGAAAAAGAAAGAAAGGGAGACATTATTATCAGTCATTAGGAGAATATTATCAACAGTACAATTTGTTGGTTCTTTAGGGGTAAAGAAGGAGACGCGTTTTGGACAGTCATCAGCTACCCATCGGTTTATGTTGTAAACAAAAAAAAAAAAAAGAAAAAAACTATCCATCAGGAAAAAGGTTGGAGAGACAAATAATTAAAAGGGTTCATTACAATGTGAATTTTTAAAAATTCTTAGTGTCACAATTAAGAATTAAAAAATTTTCAATTTAAACTTGTTTCAACTTACATGAAATGATTTTCTCTTTTTTTTTAATTTGAATTTGTACTCTTGAGTTAACACAAGAATTAAAGTGCTAACAATTAAGTATCCTTCTTAATTTTCAAAAAATTAGCCATTAGATTAATCTGAAAAGAATTTCAGGTGTTCAAGCTTTGATACCCTATGCAAATGGCATAGATTCATTTTCACAACGGGCGGGTAGTGACATTGGTATGGTATGTGGTGATGGCGGTAGTGAAACACCATGTCCTGGTATGCAATTATTGATTTTTACCGAAGATTTTGGAAAGCATTAAATAATCAAAATTGTATTTACAAATTACAACTATGATCTTATCAATCTTAAAACTATTGTCTTAACATTTTGAACTAAATTAACAACAGGAAGTGAAATGTTGTAGAGGTTTCAACTTTGCATATTTAATTAACATTTACCGCTGATTTCATCTGATATACTGCCGCATTTATTACTAACATTAGAATAATCCTCATAGAGTGGAAATAAATGTTTTGATATTTCAGGCATGTATCCAGGCATGTTACCGCCACACTTTCGTGGCGGATCATTGCCATTATCGCACATGATCCCAGCACATCCACTAATACGGCCACCATTATTTGTGCCATTTCCGCCACCACCGCCACCACCACCGCATTTACTACCACCAATGCATCGTCTTATGCCAATGATGGGAGCGCCACCTCCACCAAATTTTGGTTAGTTTCTACAATTAAATCTACTTCTGATGATTAACAAGATATATCGGTTGATTACCGAATAAATTCAAAAATATCATGTCATTACTGTCATAATTCTAGGAATGCCACCACATTTACCGCCTGGTATCTATCCTCTCCCGCCTCCACATTTCGGTTTACTACCGCCACGATTCATGGCTCCATATGGGCCAATACCATCGCCAATAGGACGGCCACGAACACCACCTGACGGACCAATTATTACTGGTCCTGAATCAGTCTATGGTACGCTACCAAGGAGACTGGCTTATGAAGAGCCAATTTATATGCCCGGAAATGCACCCTATATGCCGCCACAAGCGAGCTATCAACCGGGAAATTACCTAACGGATCAATACGACACTTATTATGATTCGTTGAAAAGGCAACGCAGCCAACATCACAACAACAAGGTTAGATGGCCGGCCGTGATTTTTGGAATTAACTTCAAGATTAATTAAATATTTTTAGATAATTGTTTTGAAAATCTAACGAATATTATACTAAATTTAAATTTCAACAAACGCAAACGTTCGAACCTTCTTTTGGTTACGTCTCCTGAAATGTAAATCGAAGGATTCAATAACAAGGCTAGTAGTAAGCATTACAGAATTTATAAAGCAATTAATAAACGGAATTTCGAGTATGAAATTGTAGGGATCAGCTGGCGCTGAATCTCAGACGAGTTCGAGGCGTGTGGCGGCTACATCAGAAAACGACGGATCATCGCAATTTTGGGATTCATACGAAGCTAGTATATATCGGAAGCCACACTTAAATGAGAAGGTTAAGAGTTTTCACCTCAAATTGACATGGTCAATGTGCCATATCATTAAGGGAAGTTAATTAATCTTAGTCTTATCACTGTTATTCACATATGCAAAATGATTGTGCTGCTATCTTCTTGCACAAATTTAAAAAATATGAGGAAGAACTGAAAAAAGTAGTATGCATTAAGACTTGAAAGGTCAAAAGGCCAAATAAATTTCAAAGAATTTGTAAATTAAGTCATGAATAACAATAATAACCCTTAAGTAAATGTTACGAGTAATCGGTATATTTTATAAGTCTAAGTTATTAAGACTCATCTTTGATATGAGTCTTGTTTTCTTTTTTCTACAACTTAGACTTCTGAAAACATTCGAAAGGAAAGAAAAATCCAAGCAAGAATTATCTTGCTCTTCTTCACACCAAATCAGCATATAAATTACTCAAATGAATCTGCGAATCCTTTACATAAATTATTAACGATCACTTACGTGTTCCTCATACTTCATCACTTATAAACTATAAACAAATAAGTAATTAATTAGATGAGATAAAAGTAATTAAGAATATATTCATATGTGGTAGCGAGTGCATAATTCTTTGCAAATGAAAAAACAAGTAGTTTTTAAAAAAATAAGAAAAAATAAAAAAACTAAAAAAAAAAGTCTGAAGTAAAAAGAAAAAAAAGCAATTTCCCTCTCTATATCATATATTTTTCATGCCTTATATCCCTACCAAATATCCCACTATTTTATATGCCAAGCAAATATTCCATTGCATTATTTGTTGAGTAATTATTTGCTAAACAAATTTACTTTTTATATTCATTTAAAATTTTACCTCATAAAATATCGAAATGAAAAACATTATTACAGGCATTCTCAGCAACCGCACGTTCAATGTCAACAGCAACAACTATTGTAACAGCTACCAATCATAATCATCCTAGTACAAGTACCACTAATCATCATTTGAATACAACCACAGGAATGGGAATTGGTACAATTGATATTGTAGCAAGGCCTGAAACACCACCTGCTGATTATGATACTGCATTTAATGAAATGCATATCAGTGATAATACCGCTAACAGTAAACAACAGCAACAACAACAACAACAGCAGCGTCCCACTGCTGTCATTTATTAAATAATTGTTTAACTGAATGTGGACTATGTAAATTTTTCGAAATATTAAAGAAAGTTTTTTTTTTCTTTGAATCCAAAAGTTCACAAATTTAGCAAAAGTTTCAACAGGAAATATGCTATTAAAATATGTGCTGGAAAGTTTCCTTTTTACAGAACTAGATTTAAAAAATTCAAAACAAAAATTCTCTTTTTCCTCTCTCTCTCTCTCTTAAAAGAATACTTTCTTAGTAATATATATAATTAATTAATGTAAAATTAGGAATGCATGCCATATCTGCTAAACGTTACAGTATTCTTTCTTCAAATACCATTACTAATAAAATTGTCCATGCAAATAGAATTCAAAAATAATTCCCTTTAATGCTGAATCAATTTACCATTATTTCTTCTTCATACATTCATCATTTACTGTGATATATCAAAACCATGACTGAAGAAGTATTATCTTCATAAGATTTCTTCCTATCCATTATTCTCTATCTATCCCTGTTGTTTTAGCACTATATGATTATTATCTATTACCATCCGATTACCCATTATTCTTACATTTGTATGAGATAAAGCCAAACTATGCCATATATTTTCCACTGTCCCAAACTGTTAATCTATCAGTTGGCTGGGTCTCATAGATGTTTGCTTGCTTTGTACTTGTCATCCTGCAAAATTTAGCTGTTGTCACATGCGTGCAATCCCTACTTGCATGGTCAAAATTCCGTATCCTTACTGGTTTTACTAATAAAATGATGATCCCATGTTTTCATAACAATAATAATTACAATCATTGTACGAACTACTGATGCACATTCATCCAGATATATTTTTATGTAAAAGTAGAGTGTGTCAAAATCATTCTTTCACAAATACCACAAGAAGTGATTTGACGTTAACTAAATTTCACTGCTATCATTTTCCACCCAATGAGTGGTGCGAACATCCTGTATTCCAGTATCACAAACGATCAAATTTAATCTCTAAGAGAACACCGGCAAATTTTGCAATAGATGGATTTACTGAATAGTTTAATTTGAGGTTAAGGAAAGAGCATATTACTAGACTTTATTAATATGAATTTCTACAAAATATGTTTTTGTTATTCGTCTTTATCAAAACATAAACAGCCTTAGTTTATATAATAAGCCTTCTCCAGAATTGCTGAGACTTTATCGATTACGTAGATTACACTAACACTTCAGAACTCTATCATATGATTTCAAATTCGTTATTTCTGGTAAACATTTAAATGACTTCAACATCAGAAGATTATCATTCGAAGTCAGACTGTATTTAAAATTATCGAAATTGTTAGATATTAAAGTATTAGAGATTTTTGAGTAATATTTACCTGAAGTCAACGTTTAGGTAGTATTTGTTTTAAAAAAAGAAAAACTAATATCCAGTACCAGCTTTTAACAAATACATTAAGGAATGCTAGCAGATGGAATGAGACAGCAAATACAGTAAAATAAGTACTCAATAAAAGCAAACTACTATGCAAAAAAGAAAAAGAACGGCTGATCATAAATTATCGCTAAAACAGTTTCCCGTCATTCAAAGCAAGGAAAGTGCGATAACGGTACAACAGTGTTTCAATAATCCGCATAAAAGATGCATACAACATCAAAAAGCCATTCTATTTCTATGTTTGACCAACATATAAACGATTTGTATGAGTTTATAATAAAATTTCTCCAACTTCAAGAAGAAATAATGAGCTGATATATTTCATTCATATTCGCTGTAGCTGCTGTATGACGTGATTTCAAAGATAGCTGAAATTAAATGAAAAATAAAGCAAAGTATTAGTGCAAAAGAAAAAATAATGGAAGGAAAGTATTACAAAAGTGCGCAAAACTATCATTAATAGGACTGATTTTGCGATGGAAAGGAGAATTGACCCTCATTTCCCCAGCAAGAACTGTCATTTGAGCACTACATTAGCATATCGATTTAGTGAATCCTGAATCATAAAGAAACAGAAAAAAAAATGTCTGAACCATAAAGAAAAAAAAAATTTACTGTAAGAGGCTGTGATACTTCCTGCATTTTAAGCTCCGAAAGAACATAAATCTGATTGGTATACTTGATGGAATGATAGAGCAGCTCTTGTCCTTCTACATTTCGACGAGCAACTGTGAATACATTGTTTTGTTGCAGCTTAGTACATATGTCATCTGTAATGAAAAGTAAATAATCCCTGCAAGGAACTAAAAAGCTGAAGTCTTTGGCGTTATTTGAATGTATTCAACTGAAGATACCTATCTTCTCCATCTACTTACTTGAATTATAAAGTCTTGATTTACTTTACTAGTAGCTCTATTGTTAGACATCCTATCCTGAGGATGAAAAGTCATTTCTCCGATTGTGCCAGGGAATCTAGTGCAACAGACACCAAAACAAAAGTTTTTCGAAATACTAAATAGGCGGGCTGAAACACGAAAAGAGCAACTTCAATAGTACCAACTATATCCACAATTACAGAAGACTACTGAAAATAAAACAGGAAGATACTGTTGTCATCTTAAATTTTAACAGCCCTCTCGCACACTTTACTTATCAACTAAATATTTTGACCAAGATTGAATAGTAAGTAGCATAGTTAGCACCAAGTATTACTAGTTTCGGTTCTTCTATTAGTCAGAAATCAACCCAAATAAAACCATTTCACGATCGTCGCCTTTAAAGTTATGTGATGTGTACTTAATATGTTAATATAAAAACCTACTTCTGAATAGACCGAATGCATATGATATCCACAAATATTTCTAAACTTAAATTGAAATTACACTGACGTTTCTAACCCAATTCATAAATAGCACTGAAGAGATCAGGATGAGAACTAAAAGTTAAAAATATTAACAAACCTGCGCTAAGACCTTTGACATTATTGATGGCAAACTGTACTTCATTTTGTTCCGGTATTTCTTTCCACATTTGCAGGAAATCTCGTTTATCCATCTGACCACTTTCATCAAAATACATGTTGAGCGGTACGATGGTGGCAAAGTAGAACACACCAACGTCATTTTTTATAGCCACCTGAAATTATAAAAAATACAGAGGCATGGAGATTGACCAGGCTATTGGGACTCTTCCAAAGAGTAGTATAATCGAATGAGTACAATATAAATCCACTTCGAAAGAGTATTGAGTGTAATATAATCCATAGTATTATCCATTTCATGCTGTCATCCAACATTTACTTTAAAAATCCAGCCAACAGCTGTTTTATCTATGAAGAAAAACGAAAAGGCAATCAATTTACTAAAAATCAAGTTGGATTAACATTTGCTTTGGCCTGTACTGGATGCGAAGATAAATGCAAAAGACGTTCCTGTAAATGGCTAAACAGATATATCAAGCACCTATAAAAAAAATCCATAACTGTTAGTAATAATACCAGAAAAGCAACCCCTATCACGTTAACGGATGCACTTCGAAAAATGATTATCACTTTTGTCGTATAAAAATCGCACTAAAACTAACACTACCACTTTAGTTCTGTTTTGACTTTAAAGTAACCTTCGATCCTGATCTCAACCATCAGGCAATCTTAATAATGGACATATCTTTTTATAAAACGGCAACAAAACAGTTCAAATGGTGAACCTGTAAATTGGTAAGAGGCTCCATTTTCTGCACTGGGCCATTCGTATGACATGGAAGTGATGTTTGTGCTGACTGATTAGGGTAAAGTGGTGAATTTATTTGAAGTGGCTCGGCTGGAATTAAACCAAACCTAAAGTATATAAAATTTTTACCTTGTTTTAAAAAGTACCTAATGCATTAGTTTTTTTTTTTAAATCTGTTTTTGTCTTCTGAATGATTTTCTTTCCCAAAATTGGTCAAGTAACCTCAAAATATTTACTAATAAATTAAAAGCCGGAATAGTTTCAGGATGTTCGTCTCTCAGACTCTCCCTCTCCCAAAAAAAAAAGTTTAAGAATGTACGATTTTTACTAATTCCTAATAAAATGTTTCAGTGAGTAAAACCTAAGAAAATTAAGTGAGTTTCAACTATTATTAGAAGTATATTTTGTAAAAACTACAAACTTTTATATATGTCAAGCAGCTTTATCAAAATGCCTTTGATCAAGTATTACTTACGAATTTTTATTAAATTGGATAGCAAATCCAGTAAAAGGTTGCATTGCGCGATTCGTAAAAATCATATCCATGTAAATTTGTCCACCACGACGAAAGAAAGTTCCTTCGATTTGTGTGCCCTTACCTTTACTAGCCTCCAACCAAACCTGAAGTTTTAAAATGATCAATTTCAGAAACCATAATAACCGAAATAAGAGAAAATAGAAAGGGGTTTATGCACATGAATGGACAGCAATTTTGAACATACCAGACTGCAATCATACCTAGCGTTATTAGTTAAATTTATGTCAGTTAACAAATACCAGGAAAGAAAAAGTGAGCTCAATTGCAACTCCTGTTGTCAAATATCTAGAAACACAAGAAAAACTCACAGTTTTTGGAGCCACATATCCCGTTTGACTAGAGAGAATTGGTGCCCCCATTATGGATCCACCAAAAAGGTCATTCAAACCGGTAAACGGATTGGAAACGGCGGTAGTGATTGGAGCTGATGTTACAAGACCAGCCGAGGGTGCTAAACCAGTTGATGGAGCTGTCATCTGAAAAAGGCTGCGAATATCGTTCCTTTCAAATAAATATACTCAGTCCATTAAGATTAGGTTCAAAACTGAAAAACTTTCAATGTCCGACTTTTCTTTATCTTTAAAGAGACATTTCTGAACTGAATAATGAAAAGCAATCAATCTTGTTGATTACCCTATCCAAACAAATGAAACAGCAAAAACAAACTTGTGCAAAAGAAAATGGAGGTGCAGGAGGAACAGATACTGGTGTAGGAGCACCAAAAGTCCCTCCAATATTTGCCTGAGGAAGTGATATTTGAGTTGGTATTGTAGGCGGTGAACTTGTCCCCCCAACATCACCAAGCAATCCATCAGATCCAAGTCCTAACAAGTCGTCCAGACCGGAAGACATCGGTGCTGGCTGGTATGAGTCCATACCTATATTTCAAGTTAAAATGAAAAAGTGATGCAA